GGCAGTTTTTGGCCTCAAACACCATGGCCGTCATCCCGCACCCTCCTTATTCGCCGTGTGACTTCTTCCTCTTCCCAAAGATGAAAATTCAGCTAAAGGGAAGGTGATTTGAGACGATAGAAGAGATTCAGGCAGAATCGCAAATGGTGCTTGACAGGCTGACAAAGAAAGATTTCCAGGGATGCTTCCAGGCTTGGCATCGGCGCTGGGATCGTTGTGTTCACTCCCAGGGGAACTACTTCGCGGGTGATGGATGAATTTAATACCTGAGATAAGTGTACGGGTTTTTATAGGCGCAGTCTTGAAACTTTCCGATCGCACCTCGTATGAGACCCGTTTGAAGGCTGTACGGACGCCTGGATATCTTCCTATGTTCGCTATGCAGAAGCCTGCAAACATGACTTATAATGGATACAGCCGCCTGTTTCCTGGCTCAGTAGATGACTCAGCACGTGACGGCCATAATGGCCACATGGACAAACCATGATACTGCTTTCAGGCACACTCAGTCAAATTTTAAAATGTCTAATTTTTCTGAATCTTTATTTAATTTTCAAACATATTATTTTTTGAAAATTTTTCTTCTAAAACGTTATTATACAAGTCATGTATGGAGGCCCTTACATAGACATTATAGCAGTCAATAATGAAATCATCTACATATTCTTTACGTCAGTTATGTAATGAGGCATTTGTGTGGCCATTACACAATTCAGGTATGCAAACATCTGTATAGGCATAGTAGCTCTCTGCTTGGGTGGCCCCTATATAGATATAGCACTCAGGTACGTAAGCCCCCATTTACAGACTTTTGAGAACCAGTAAACAACATCACATAAACTTCAGAGTCTTTTTAATAAATTTAAAGTTGTGTTTCTTAAAGTATAAAGGCACTGCTCTCATTGCTGATATCAATAATAATAAATGTATCTTTTCACTGATTCAAATTTTCTCCCACGTAACAGAAGTTAATGCGACTTAATTAAACGTTAATGCAACATTTCGTAGAAATGATAAGAGGTTCATTACCTAACCTGAGTGGAAGTTAATTGTGCATAATCTCATTAATTTCAAGTGTCCTTTGTAAACGTGACAAGTTGAAGACGTTGGCAGAAGTTGAGTACTTCAGATGTACACCATCCTATATGGATGGACACAAGTTTCAACATTCACGAACTTGTGAACACGTTCAGATATGTTGGCCGCTGATCACACCGTTTTCTTCCGTGTTCGAAAGTTTTGTTACAGGGAACAGAGCGCTATAAAGTGGAGGTTGGTCCAATTCCTCATATGATGGGGGTCCTGGGGTGGGAGGTGCTTCATCTTGTTGAATTGCACTGTTCCTCCTGTGGCCTCCAATGTTTCCAGTACTGTTGATTATGAAAACGGTGGTTGCTGCAGACGTACTGACCTGGCTTCCAGCTGGAAGTCGATGCTTCGAGGACCGGCAACAACACTCCCAGAGACCGCAGAGCATCAGAATCGCCCCGCAGATGAGCATTCCCAGCATCAAATATCCCCAGGGGCCATAGTGCGCCAAACCTGCCGGTACCGTTGGATCTATCGCAGAAAACGCCAGTTTTACGCATCCAATGATACAATATTACAGAAGTCAGGACGAGATAAGAAAGAAGCCTCCATATTATTAATGAAGTAGCGAATTACGGGTTAATAATTGCAACAAAATTAAAAAGAGGACTTAAAAAACGAAGACGGCCGTCTTCTAGGTTGTAGCTCAGTACAGTCGCAATTTGCCAACGTTTCAGAGGTCCTTGTTGCCTCCATCATCAGGGCGATGAGTCATTGGTAGACTTCGGACTACACGGCTCTTTAACCCAGAAGACAGCCATCTTCGAACTGACCACCGTGAAAACCTCAATTCAGTCTTAAAATGCGTTTTTATTGAAGAGTGTAACAAAGCACAATAAGACATTAAAATAATTACATTTCTTTCCTTTACTGTAAAATAGTTTAATGCAATACAAATAGCTGTTTTAAAATATTATCACCAACCAACAAATCAATATGTTTATTGCAATCATCTGCCTAGACAGTACGTATCAGCCAGGCGCTATACATTCTTCCAGGGAGGTTTTTGTTTAAACGAATTGCAATTACAGTGGCTTACCTTCCGGATCGTCCGACCACGATGGCTTAGTCGTCGCAGTCTTCATTGTAAAGTTACTGGGTTCGGTCACTTGAACTCCCTTGGCCTTGCTTAACAGTTTCTTCAGTATCATGTCCGACACGTCCCTGAACATGCCGGATGTTAGTTCAAACCCCGACTGTATATTCTGCCCAGGTTTAGACGTCGTTGTTGAAGTTAGGTCTCTCTTCCCAGACTTGTCTTCACTCAAGGTTTTCAACACAGCTTTTGTCAGTATCGTCTGTATAAAATTGCGAGGATCTGACTGACGTCCTTCCTCGGAGGAGGCCAGGTCTCTCAACAACCCTCGTTTGACTGCTGAAGCTTCACAGTCTGCAGGGTTCTCGTCGTCTGCGACAAGAGGGCAGTTGTTGTAACCGTCACAAGCGAACTCCGAAGAAATGCAGCCTTCTACACAGAAGAAACGATGTCTGGTGTTGCAGACATCCATACCTGAACAATGATGGTAATAAAATTGTCATAACACGAACGATTACGTCTATGAAACTTGCATAAAGCCATTTCATTTTAAATAGACCTGCAACAACTGACAACCAAAGTGAAATTGCTTCGAAGCTCAGAACACAGTACTCTTAGTATTTTTTCGGGAAGACCATAATTCAAAATTTGGACTGAGAACCAGCTTTACCGAAAGATTCCTCGTGTTTTTAATTATTTGTAAGGAACAATTTGTATTTCACCAGAAAATCTTCTCCCGACATTATTCTAAATTAATAATTTCGATAACCCTGCCATTAGATGCTGTATGAATTTTGTACCGGACGGGGCTTCGTTAAACAAGCCAGGAACAGATTAACTATGAAGTTAGATGTTTTTATAATTTGTCTTTTTTAATTCCGGTCAAAGTTGGTCATTGGGATCGGCCACTGTATTCTTCTCAGGATAATATAAAGCTCACAAAATTTGTGTTGTGTCTTAAAACACTGTCCTACTTCTTAGACACGACATGTGCAAAATAATTGCTCATGTATTTTGCTTAGCCAGTAACAGAAAGTAGGGGTTAGTAAGGCAAAAACTTTGACCGAGTAAGGTTCAGCCGCAATGCGTCACTCTTCTCTTCATCGGCATATATTTGAGACACTACATCTCTCGTTACAAAGTCCCCACTGACCCTGCCCCGATTAGACACATTATACGTACTTTTACCGACAGCCGTGATGACGAGGCGCTTGGCTACCATTTTGTCAGCGAGGCTAGCTTCCGGCGGGACCCAGGTTAGGGTGAGGTGGTTTGCCATGAAGAGGGTGCCGAATGCCATCCTACTGCCGTTGCAAAGGTCAAAGGTTCTGACAGCTTCTTTTTGTAGCGCCTCGGTGCCATCGGTGTGAGACTATGCATGAGGAAACTCGTGTGTGAGCACAGTGTAACTGGTTATTCACAAACAGACATATTTCATACGAGGTGCGATCGGAAAGTTTCAAGAATGCGCCTATAAAAACCCGTACACTTATCTCAGGTACTAAATTCATCCATCACCCTCGAAGTAGTTCCCCTGGGAGTGAACACAACGATCCCAGCGCCGCTGCCAAGCCTGGAAGCATCCCTGGAAATCTTTCTTTGTCAGCCTGTCAAGCACCATCTGCGATTCTGCCTGAATCTCTTCTATCGTCTCAAATCTCCTTCCCTTTAGCTGAATTGTCATCTGTGGGAAGAGGAAGAAGTCACACGGAGCTAAATCCGGCGAATAAGGAGGGTGCGGGAAGACGGCCATGGTGTTTGAGGCCAAAAACTGCCGAACTTTGAGGGCGGTGTGCGCTGGCGCGTTGTCATGATGCGTCGCATGTGGAGTTCTTCCTTTAGAATCAGCGGACAGGTCCCATAGCCTATCCCAACAAGGTCGCACAAGTCGTTGATGGTACGACGTCGAGCTTCGTAACATTTTCGGGCGTTGTGCTCGAAGATGGTCGTCCAGAACGCTCGTCATCATCGACAGAGGTTCGGCCATTTTTAAAACGTGAATGCCACACAAAAGTTTGTGCACGACCCATTGCGGACTCCCCAAATGCTTGCTTTAGCATTTCATAGGTTTCCGTAGCCGTTTTGGCAAGTCTTTGGCAACCCCTAGCGGCAGAAGCTCGTACTACATTCGGTTCGCCCTCTATTTCCGATCGCACCTCGTAATAACTAAAACGTATATGCCGCAAATGATTTGGAAATGTTTTAAACTTTGAATATCTGTCAACAACATTAGTGGACTTATAGGAAGATACTGTTGTTCCAGAAGAGCTGTAGCTCTCTACAACCACAGTTCCAGGCAAGCCGGAGACCATAACGTAACGTGAAGGTACTCACTAGTTCGAGGAAGCAAGGCAAAGAGCCCTGTCGCTTCTCTGATGATCTGTGTGGAAAGAACTGCTTTGGGTGGTCCAGGTGCACTGTGATCTCGTGACCAAGAGGTGCGGTCACCTCTATTCGACATGTTGCGGCACCGGACTGTCGATCCCTCGTGGGTGTATACGGCGACCTGACGTTTAGTTCCACGAAGGCTGCTGACCGCGGACCTTTCGACTGGAGGTGAAGGACTGCCGGACGGCCTTCTTGGAGGCAGTAGAACGCAAAGTTCACTAGACAGAACAAAAATTACAAGTAACACCCTGGTCCGCGACTGAAGGTTGGTTACTCAGCTAGTAAATAAATTATGCTTTAATCTAAATCAAATGATAATTAGGCTCAAGTGTTCACAAAAGCCCGCCATTGTACTGTATAATAGGTCAGTCCAATATAATCCAATTTATACAGGGTGATTCAAAAGTACGTTTGCAAACTTTGTGTGCTTGTTCCTAGATCAAAAATAAGAAAAAAATGTTCCTATGAACATGCAGTCACAAATGCTTCTTTTTCAAAATAATATCCAAAAATAAGTTTCAATGTACGCCTTTATTGCCAGGTATAAGGGCAGGGATGTTTCTTTGTAACAGATGCTGAAATTGCTCCTCCATTCTACACACATGCCCAAGCACGACGTAAACAAGACCGACGAATTCGTTCATACACACCAGAGTTTCCTCGAATCATCTGGCATGCATTGTGCATACGTTCCCATATGTCGTCTTCATTGTTTATGGGTGTTGCATAAACGACGGACTTCAAGTGACCCCCACAGATAAAAGTCCAATGGAGTCAGGTCCGGTGACCTCGGTGGCCATGCAATTGGGCCACCACGCCCAATCCATCGCTGAGGGTACTGTTCATTGAGATGATCTCTGACGCGATGGGAGAAGTGTGCTGTGGGTGTCGTGCATAAACCAGATTTGTCTTCTTGTATTCAGTGGTACATCTTCAAGGAGACGTGGCAAGTGTCTTCTTAAGAATCGCCTATATTAAGGTCCTCTTAGACGCGATCGAAGCATGTCGCCAACAATTCCTGCCCAAATTTTAATTGAAAATCTTTGCTAGAAGCTGGATTTACTTTCATACAAAGTCAGTTCATTGAAAACTTATTTTTGGCTATTATTTCTAAAATGAAATATTTGCGATCCCACGTTCATAGGAACATTTCTTCTTAGTTTTGATCCTGGAACACGCACACGAAGTTTGTAAACATACTTCTGACTCACCCTGTATAATATTTTCGGTCTAAAGAATATAATTTTTTACAGGAAGACATTAAAACAATGACAAAACGGGTTCTCTGATTAGCCCACTTTATGGCCTGTAATTAAATGTGTAGAAACGGACGTGGTTTCACACCTGGACCTGACGACCGGGCACACTGGTCGATAGACACTGCGTCGTATTAACAGGAGGACTGACCGGATGATGATAATTACGACGACGAAGTAAAATCCTGGAATAGCTGAAAGAATTGACGAACATCCTCCAAAATACACCATTTTCCTACTATTTATTCATTTAACTTGTGTAAATCTATAAAAATAAAGTATATTAGCCACATTATAACTTACACGTGTCAGACAGCTACGTCGCGTTCTACAAGAGGTACTTAAAAAGTCAGCCAGAATATAAAAATATATGAACTGAAAAATTCGATTCCAATTTGTTGTAAGGGCAACACTTTCTTTCCCGGAACTTTGCCCAGCCTTCTACTTAACGGGTAAGATACCTGATATTCTTTCCTCTGGAGTAAAGGAGTCGAAGTCATATAGTGTTCAGAATAAAAGTGCTCGGATAACGATTACGAAACAGGGACAAATTTTGACGAAGGATGCAAAATTTAGATTACAAAATGTTGGCCACTGAATCTGTTGAGCATTTAACTAACAGAACCCAACTTTGATGGAGGATCGGCCGATCTGAAGGCTCCTTCCTAGAAGCCTTCTTGTTTATACAGCCCTAAACACAATGAAAATAAAATAATAAATAAGTATTGTAGGAACAAGGAGGAATGCATTACTCACCCGATAAGTATGCGTCAGCTGGCGCCTGGAATAATGCCAGAATTAGAACGTGAAGACTGAACCAATGTTGGCAACAGCTCGCCATTCTGGTCTTCAACACTTGAAGAACTTCTGGACCACGTATCCTGATGGATATGCTGGTGTTGGTCTACTGAGATTGATCCAAGGTCAGCTGATTGTCCAAATTTCTAACGGCAGTGACGCTTTGGTACACTTTGCGTGTTTTATCCATGTAACACGGAAGCAGACTACAATGAGTACGAAAACGACGCACCACTGATTTTGCACTCACATAAGCTACACAATGTTTACTTTCAGTTAGCTGTTTGTTGATCCTGTTGTCACAGTGTACAATCAGGATATTTTACAGAGGCTGGCTTACAACTGCGCTATACAATTGGCAGAATCCACTCACAGTATTTCCTCAAAGATGTGTCACTTCGCTTATAACTGCATACAAGAAAGGACGTGTATGGAACATTTTGCAAGGTGATACTGATAGCATACAACGTCGATTATTAGAATGCAGTGTCTATTAAGGCTTTCACCGGGATGTTATTTTGTTAAATCTTATGTGGTACCGCCTGATTCGACTTCTAATGGTGAAGTGTGGTGTTTTATTCGCGGTACGGTCTGGATTCGTAAATATTATGAAGACGAGCTTCGGCTTCAAAGGGTTAACCAGCTGATTTTCGTAATGGTGAGGTGTAGTGTTTTCTTCGCGGTACGGACTGAATTCATAAATAATATTCAGACGATCTTCGGCTTCAAAGGGTTAACAGAGGGTTAAGTAAACTACGGAGCAGGCGACCGGACAAAAGGCAATAGATTTATGACTTCTCTTTCAACATGGCTTCTCTCCAGTCGATGTTAGAGCTAATTTGTAGTGTAAAGACACCGTTAAAATTTCTGCGTGAAACTGTTTGCGATATGAGCGGAGAAGTTGCCTGATATCACGTGTAAGTATCACTGTAGTCTTATCTTAATAATGCACACACTGCGCGATGCTACGAGACTCAAATATAGTAATTTATGTTAAGAAGTTTCGTTGGACAGCAAAAACCCTTTTGGCAGATTTCGAAAATCGCTGTTCATTACAACTCACGTTTAAGCAAATGGGATATTTCTTTTTAAGTTCTTCTGATCTGTCGGATATTTAATCGCATTGTCTCTTCAAGCACACTTTTATCTTGAACTGAATTGCACAAAAAATATGTTTACATTTCTATACAGATTTAACTCTTAAGCTTTAAAGGATGACGGTCGATAAGGAGAGCTGTTTTATCTATAAACATAATTTTTCTTCCTGGTTTCGTTTGAGCAAATGTGTTCTGTGAACAGTTTGTTTCATGAATAGCTTATCTTCAGTTTTTCACCAATATTTCTGCCCAAGAAAGCATTTTCTTTACACTTGTAGCCTATTTGTGTACTTCGTACTCTGTAGCACAGTTATGTTAAGTTTGTTTTCTGCGCGAAAGGATTCTATCCATTTATTCGTAATTCCACCGTTGGATTGCTTGGAATAATGTCACACCACACCCATTACAAAGTTTCTGTGATATTGACACTAATTTCTAAGTAAAGGAAAATCAGAACCTGGCACTTCGCAGCAGAGATTCTTTATTTTCGCATTCTTTGTTCAATCAAAATAATTTGCATAATTTAATTTGCCTACAAAAGTTTTTTTTTTTTTTTAGGTTTCAAAACTTTCGCTGAATGAATGTCGTCTTTATCCTGATAGTGTCCAATGCTTCTGCGGACAGATCTGAAACAGCTGTCCGACGCCTTGTACAGGAATCCATGAATGTAAGGCCACTTTATTTCAGAGAAGGCTTATACATTTTGTTGTCGAGTGTGAAGACCTGTAACATTATCAACGAGGAGAGACAAATTAGTTATATTTTATCTGCTTAACTATTTCCTACGTCACACTTTCGCATTCACAACATTTAACAATCCCGATTATAACTGGAACTGTTTCTACCGGAACAAACGCCATGAAGGTTCAGCGTAAGAAATGTTAATAAACGTGATACATCGAGAAATAAAAGACGCAGGTACACGGAAGGAACTGGACTTGACAAAACTGAATAATTGGTTAACTTCACAATTTGTACACCTCACCCCTTATTTTATGTTAATTAAGTAAAGAATGATAGGATGGGCGAGAATATAGCATGCATGGATGAAATAAGAAATGCATGCAAATTTGTAATAAGAAAATCTGAATTGAAGAGACCAATTGGGAAAACTAGATATATATGTGAGGAATAATAAGACAGATCTTAAAGACATGCAATGCGTGGGTGTGAACTGGGTTCATTTGGATCGGGATAGAAACCAGTGCCAGACTTTTGTGAACACTGTAATGAATCTACAGTTTAACCATAAGGCAGACTTCTCAGAGCACCAAACACAGCACAGTCAGACCTGTTTACATACTCTAAATTGGTAGAAATAACCGAGTACTTTTATGGAAAATAATTAATAAAAATACAAATCAACAAATCTGTTAAAACAAAATTATTAAGAAATATGTGAACCTGTTTGTGGCAGTAATTTAGAAATATTTTTAATAAACTGTTACGAAATTTCAATAAACTCTCTTCATTTACGTATAACTGGTGAAATGAGATAAAGTTAGGTTAGAATCCCATGCCAAGATTCTGTAATCATGGTAATGAACCTTCGTCTTCTTGGTCGATTAATAATTACCAATCGCTAAATGAGGAAATACCGCACATAATGAGCTCAGTTCCATTCTCTTTTCTCTCTCTCTCTTATTCTTCGTATCTTCCTTTATTCTTTTTGTCGTTTTGTTTACTTATTTCATTTTCTGATTACGTATGCAAATTCATATTAACATAAAGAAAAACGTTAGTGAAAATAAAAGAACTCCTGGTTGCTAAATAATGAATAACAAATGTGTATCCTTGAAACAGGTCCGAAGGCAAGTGGCCTATTAGCGTGGCGAGAACAACAGATCGAAATTCAATCTGAATTCAACGACGAATCTCACAACATGAAAACGTCTCCATGATGACAAACTCTTACAGAAGATCCAACGCTTCGTGAATTTTTATGCCTTGAATACGATTATTTTCTGGGCTGTTGCGCCTTGTAATATGTTAGACGTCTACCGACGTTTCAGAGGTATCTGCATCAAGGCGATTAATAGGAACGCAACCCCGGCGTATAACGACAGTAACCTGTATATTGATATCGTATTTTGGGCAATTTTATTCAAATTAAGAATCGCACAGACTAAGTTAGAACTTCAAAACTGGTCCTTTATTAGGAATAAATTGTTCGGATACGAGAGTCGTGTGTACAGGGTCATAGTAATTGAGATGGAGAGGGTAAACGTGGTTATATTCTGGCCTGGTGCCAAATCACGACACGATTACGGGCTGAAATTGAGTCAGAGGTCAGAGGTCAGAGGTCAGCTGCCAGATAACACAGTGAAAGGATCAAAAATGTGTTTCGGAACTTTGGATTTGTTGTTTAATTCTGTAACTTTGCGTCCTACATTTCCGTTGCAGAGGCGTAATGTTGATGATAAAACAACTAACACCATGAAGTAATTCTTCTGGTCAATCAATTCGAAGTCAAACATCCAACTTTAATCTGTAACTGGGTCTCCCAAGCGGTCTCTTCTTTTAAATCTTTTTGGATGAAACTCATCTTCCCCAATTTCCTCATTGTCTTGTGATCAACACAACTACGTGCGGCGAAGAATGGATATTAAGAATTTCCTCAACATTCAGCTTCATTCAGACTTCTGCAATTTCATCACTGTCAGGTCCAAGTATTCTCTTCAACATCCTGTTCACAAACAGCCACAAAAAGTACTTTTTTTCCCTTAAAGACAGAGATCCCGTTTCGCACTAATACAAAACAGGTACATTTTAATTTGTCCATAAACTTACACGGCCCTTTTATTTTAAAACATCGTAAAGCCCGGTCTACACGTAACGTCTTATCGTACGTTTTGTTTCATCAGTTAAGATGGTCAGGTAAAACTGACCAAAATCCCGTGTCCACACTATTTACGTTTCATAGATACCATGGATGAAGTATTACTTGTATCGAATATTTCATTGCGTCTCGTGAAATTGAAAATAAAGGAACTTGTTCGTCGCTGACGGTGGTCTAGACGATGGTTGCTAAAGAGGGGCAGATTCTCTCATGTGAATTTGCTTCGGGAATTACGTCATGAACCTGAAGATTGGCGTAATTATTTACGAATGGATACGGACACTTATTTGAAATTACTATCGTTAGTAACTTCAGAAATACAAGAAAAGGACACTACCATGAGAAGGGCTATCACACCCCCATGAGAGACTGACTGCAACTCTAAGATTTCTAGCGACAGGTAAAGCTACAAAGACTGACGTTTTACCGGAAAAAAAATGCTCTAACCGATCCGTTTTCTGAGAGACGTCCGTCTTCATTCAGTTCAGGCAAAACGTCCGTTTCTCTGTCCATACGTAACATTTTGACTGATACGAGTCTTAACTGATCAAACAAAACGTACGATAAGACGTTACGTGTAGACCGGGCTTAACACAAGGCTAATTTTGGAGACAAAATGTACATCCCACACTACCTGATTACGAGAACAGGCCCAGTTTAAGAAATCAGGGATTTAAAAAAAAAAAGACTCACAACAGTGTACAATGCAGAAATTAATCACCATAAGGTGTGTCAACAGACATTACAATTTTATACTAAAACATTAGCACATGCTAATCTTGGTTAACATCGGAGAGTAATAAAGGGTAGTTTATCTGTACAGGAGAATCCTCCGTCATAACGTCACTGCCCAGTCAAACAGGAACCAAAACCTAAACCAATGGAAAGTTCATTCATTGTCCTCATACACTGACATCAAAGGTGCCATCATCAGAGGTCAAAGGACAGATTCTACGGCATGATCAAAATGCGTACGGCATATTTCTGAAGTCGGTTTCCATGGAAACGCGTGGTTTGTACCTAATCTACCAAACAGTATTCAGTATTGTCGTTTTTATAAAGATTGGTTGCCAGGATGTTATTGCAATGGCAACATGGCGATGTTACTCGCACTCAATCATATTAAATGTCACTGAATTCTATACGGAGCCAGTTGAATCCATTCCACACCAGAAAATTATATTTTTCGAAGCTTCGTTTTAATGGCCCAGGTCTCTCAAATGGTCTCTTCCATTAGGGATTTCTATTAAAATCTTGCATGCATTTCTTAACTCACAATAGATCCCCACAGAGCTATATGTTCCGCCAATATCAGTCTCATTCCTTTCGTTATCGTGCAAATATTATAATAGCAGAACAATTTATAAAGCTCCTCAATAGGACTTACGTTTGTATGTCCAGATATTCTCCTCAGCGTTGTTTTTGAACACTCTGTCTTCGATATTAAACGGCTAAATACTCACTTAATCCTCATTGGTATTCCTCAGGCATCAAATGTTCTTCATGCACTAACCACGACACTTAACCACCTTGCAGCATCACCACACAACACACCATCGTCTGATCCTTTCTGGTCTACACTCCCATCAGACTAATGCTGGCGAGCTGAAGGACTTCCACGCTAGAAGAATGGCTGACAGAGACTCTGACGTCACACGTCTGTGGTTTAACCTCAGAACGTAATAACTATACTAATATTGTACTATAGCTACTGAACGTAGGGTAAACAAACATAATATTTGAATGAAAACAGATCTGCAACTTAATTATCAAGGAGAATTAGCGCAGACATACGACTGCTTAACACAGAACTTCAATCGAACACAATAATTTTTGTTATAAACACAACGGAATGTTAAAATACAGAGTTAATTAATTTTTATTTTATGGTTTCACTAATTGATTTTTAAAATACAGTCTACATCTTATAAAAATCTCCAACTAGTAACTGAAACATTCAAAAAGATTTTTTAAAAAAATGCAGGATAAATTATATAACCCTGCATAAAGTGTGTTATCTACGCCGTTCATTATATTTATGAACATTTTATTAGTAATTTGGTTTCTGCACAGATAACAGCTGTGTAAAACGTAATTCTTTATCTCAAATAATAAATTTGGTTTCTGTACAGATAAAACGTAATTCTTTATCTCAAATAATGTGTAGTCCGATGGAATACACACGCGTTCACGGTCAAATCGCACACATACTACAGAGACAAGGTCAGAAATGAATTTTCATCGTACTAAGCTTAACTAATAACCATACAGATAATGTTTGAAACAAATATCTATGGATTTTAATTTGTTTACTCCATAGAACAATTTCTTTGATTAAACACAAAATATAAACAAATACGTGTGTATAAAATAAATATTAACATAGCGGAAAGGACGTGGTTTTGATGAAGAGTTAGGGGTGTGGGGGGCAGAACTGTACTCATTCTTGACCTCGGCATTACAGGGAAGTGAGGGATTAGCTTCATGCTCCGTCACATTTACTTCCAGTGTCCATTGGATAGCAGATTGGATGGACCTCGACGTGGAAGATACGAGAAAAACCACTTGCCTCTCCCGGTAATTGAGGTCCTGTCGTTTGCTAAAAAAAACTCAGTCTAATTCCATGAAATCTCTAACTACTGATTTTTATTTTTCGTATTTCTTAGTCTGTGTATATTTAACTAAAATGTTATCAGTTGTAAAAATATTTAGATTTCACGAATGATTAAGAATTATCAGTTAACATTTGACCTATCCTGACATTTGCTTTGTAAGTGATCAGAAAACGAAGACGAGCTGCTAAGCACATTTAAAATGATATAGGCCCAACAGATTCATACGTTTTCCCATGAAGATTACATATAATTTCAACGATTAACGGACTCCACGGAACAGAGTTCTCCTTGAAAAGCTAAATAGTGCGCTCAGCTACTCAATAAATTCGCTGCGTTTTATGGAACTCTAAGGTTCATTACCTTATCCACTAGAGCCTCCTACGTGTCCGTATCCCGAGCTAGACTGATCCAATCTACAAATCTAAACGTTGTTTCCCTAAGACCCTTTTAATATTATCCCCACATCTACGCACAGTTCTTCCGAGTGGTCTCTTCCCTTCATGATTTGACACAAAAACATTCCATTAGTTCTCCCCTCTTAGATCCAAATATTCTCATAAGAACCCCATTCAACATCCTCAATCAGTGTTCTTCCAGCGAATTTGATTTATGAGTTTATTTCCTGAAGTCGTTATCACATCATTTAAGTATCCGCAATTTATTAATAACCCATTATTAAAGTTACCATTATATATATCACAGTCTGTTGTTCATCACACGAAACCCATAAATTAATTTTATTTCACACGTATTTTATATTCAAAATGGGTTTCTGGCGGGGTTACATGCACGCCTCCGTGTTCTTGACGGTCCATATTTTCTCTTCTTAACTCTTACGTGTCCTGAGGTTAAAATTTGTGCCAAAGATACGCTCAAAAACCAGGCCTACGTTTCATTAAACATTGCAGACCCAAAATATCAGGTAGAGTTAAATTCTTATTTCGAAATGACAGAACTATTATTGTAGTTTTCAGCTGGTGGATATTACAGTGGTATTCTCAAGCCGCAGTTTTGACAGCTAAAATTAATTCATCCCGCTAAGGTGGAAAAACGTATCTTATCGCGGCCCTAAAAGGGGCTGACTCTTTGTTCCTAAACGAAATCGCCCCAAAGTCCCCTTTGGCAACGCTTGAAGTACCGCGAACGGCCGACGAAGGCGCCAGGTAAGCTTCCGTCATTTTGTTTAATGTTGCATCATTAAAGCTACTACTGACTCTGTGACGCGCGCTAAAACACTTGGTTGGTTTTCCTAGAATTAAAACAGTAAGTCTAGAAAATTGGTTCTGCAATGCATGAGTCACTAAGCCTTTCACGGATTAATGTAGCAGGCATTAACTAACATTGAGAAAGACTTTATGCTTAGATGAGAGTGAGAAATTGCAATCTGTATGCACTTTAAATGCTTTTTTCAGGCGAGCTAGCTACTGGACGTGACACGGGACACGCCCCATCCCTAGTTGACACGATCAACTTAATAACATTTAGTTAACAGCCCTCAGAGAACATGTGACAACGATCGATTAATCGATTATCATTCACTATGAATGTTCCGATGTAAATCGAATGCTCGATATGGAACATAAGATGATATTTTAATCATTTTAATTATCTTATCTTACTATTTTATTGTGATTTGACGGTAAACAAATATAATAATTATTTTTAAATGATAAGGAAGTGAATACAACAAATTATATAGGCCTGTTTGTAAATAAAGATGTATATATAAAAAGTATTTCAATTTTATTTACAAAAAAACTATAAATACCTTACTTCATACATACAAAACTTCTTACGGTACAAAACTGGAATGTTGTAAATTGTAATTATTAGTCTAATTCTATATTGGTCTATATAGATGACTGATGACTTGGATGATATGATTTAATATTGGGGTCCGCAGTGGTCGCTGGGACCGTGGGTTCGAATCCCACTCAAGCCATGGATGTTTGTTGTGCTGTCGCGTACAGGTAGAGGCCTTGCGACGGGCCGATCCCTCATCCAAGGAGTCCTACCAAAATGTCTATAGATCAAGCCAACGAAGATTTGGGACCCGCAGTGCTCAGGCACTTGGAGAACGGGTCGTTGCCAGTATCCCAGATTTAATATTTCGTTATTTTACGTGATAGACATCTACATTAATTATCATATCATTTCCCATTTACAAACTTCAAGTGACTACTCAGGGCTTCTTGTTCTAAAATGACCACAACCGATGATGGTCTGATTCATAGCTTGGGGCTAATTACATATCATCACTCCAAGTAATCAAATGTTAATTCTACAGATAATTAAGAACAATTACAACAAAAACACTCAACAAACACTAATGGCACTACAACATTATGATCAATATAGTCAGGTATACTAAGTCTTCCATCGCGTACTTTTCTTTTTATACAGATTTTATTCTTAGGAAAATTCCCTTTGTATGCTCAAGTGAACTTTATCTTTTGAGAATGGTCCAAATACAGAAACAAATACTGGAAATTGTTAAATTAAAATAAAGACAGGATTAAAAAGCACTCTTGAAAATGATGGCAATGATCTCTCAACAACGAACTTGTGTACGACGCTCGGAACAGTGAAGTGCTGAACTGGTTTCGTTCTTTAAACCTTCAGTTGATATGGACATCCGAGGTGTCTGACTGAGGGTCTCACAAATCTGTTAACTGTTAATTATCACAGTTCATCATACCCTGAAGGTGAACCTAAAGCTAATTGGACAGAATAAAGTGTTCGTGCAAATTGCACATGGTTCCAGAACACGTGAAGTCATTAAAATATCAATAAAAATTGTAACAGAAATCACCATTAAAATTTGTCGTCCTAAAACAAAATGACAGCTCCTTCACTCTTGAAGTCCAAAAATAGTTTTGATCTTAATGTTTATACACAAAGCATTTAAAATCCCACGACACAATGCAATAAATTACTACAAATAAAACTAATCTCCAATCAAATATGCATAATTCTTCTCATGAATGAGATTAATACATTAGAGCAGAGGTTTCCAAACCTTTATACCTTGCGCCCCCCTTAAAACATTTCATAAATTTCACGCCACGTTCGACAGTTATAGACAACTGCGATCATTTAACGCGAAGCATTCAAAGATTTCCTCACTTACAGATCGCGTACTTCTGATGGAAATAATCAAATAATAACATTTACTCAGCAGCTTGATATATCTCTGATGACGCCAGCCCTCGAGGTTGTCATTGCTCAGAAAGTTTTGTTCATTGTAAGTGGTGAAATGCAGATATCAGCCACATCTGGCTGACATGCATCGTGAATATTCTTAGCATAATACAGCGAACTGACCAAGGTACCTATTACAGTGGATGAAAAATGACTATAGACATTCATAATGAATTCTATGGCAAAATGTATGTGAGTCCCACAGATATCTCTCGTGCCTCAGGGCAAAATGTATGTGAGTCCCACAGATATCTCTCGTGCCTCAGGGCAAAATGTATGTGAGTCCCACAGATATCTCTCGTGCCTCAGGGCAAAATGTATGTGAGTCCCACAGATATCTCTCGTGCCTCAGGGCAAAATGTATGTGAGTCCCACAGATATCTCTCGTGCCTCAGGGCAAAATGTATGTGAGTCCCACAGATATCTCTCGTGCCTCAGGGCAAAATGTATGTGAGTCCCACAGATATCTCTCGTGCCTCAGGGCAAAATGTATGTGAGTCCCACAGATATCTCTCGTGCCTCAGGGCAAAATGTATGTGAGTCCCACAGATATCTCTCGTGCCTCAGAGCGAAATGTATGTGAGTCCCACAGATATCTCTCGTGCCTCAGGGCGAAATGTTGACGAATTCTGAAGTTACAAACCATAGAATGGACCACATCCTGAATATTAAGCCCACAAATCATAATATTGATAATATTTTTTTCATGGTACGTTATGAACAGAGTTCTTGAAGATTCGCTCTGAAGTGCAAAACCTGAATTCAGTCAGTGAGCTGATCAGCTATTCAGAAGTCTCTTAGAAGAATTCATCAGATTCAGACATCGCTATCTGGGCTCAGCTGGAATACTACTGGACGTATTGTGCACTGTGACCACGTGACTGTGAATAGGCACTACATAAACCTCGCATTTATTCTTAGTTTCACCAACACTCTCATAAAACAGGGTCTCGTAGGATGGAGGTGCAAACAGATGATATGGGGGTGGAGGAGTTTCGTTGAGCCACTGCGTTACTTCTGCGGGAGGTTCGGCAGGACGAGCGCTGGATGTGCTGTTTGGCGTTCTTTGTGTACGTTTGGAGCAACAGCACTCAGAGCAGCTAACAACCAGGAAGAAGGTGACCAGGCCACCAAATGACGCCATGTACCACACAAGTGACCTTGGATCAACCTCCCGTTTGTTTTCTGGAAGAAACAATTGAAATTAAGCGTCAGCTCAAGACATGACACAGCAGACGACGGCGTATGGGAAACACTCTCTCAGTAGACTTCCTCCTAAACCAAAAGTCATGATTTTCCTGGCCACTTTTCATCCTAGGGAGAAATAGTCCCTCCCCACAGGACCCTTTTGGTAGGACGCCGGGTGAGCGCTAGAGAAGATCTGGACGCTGCATCGAAGAGAAAAATCCTACACCTCTGGAGAATTGAACCCAGGCTGTCTAGTCACTGTACTGACTGACTTACCCGGTCTTATCCTGGGGTCTCGGGTTCGATTCCCGGCGGTGCCCGAATTTATAACTTGTGTTGGGCAAGGCCGTGGTCTAGGCAACACGGAGGTTTCCTCCGGGGGCTTCCCCGGTTTCTCCGTGGCATCCCAACAATTACTCCATTCACACACAGAAGAAGGCAATGGCAAACCACTTCTGGATCATCTGCCAAGAACGTATATGAACAGGTCCCAGTCCGAGAAAAGGATGGAAGGATCCTGTTCATATGGACCTGTCGTCAGACAGAACACTAAAATAAAATAAAAGTTTCATTGTACGTACGTGTGGACGTAGCTTTTGCAATAGGTCTATTCAAAAACTTTTTGGAATTATTTCAGTCGTAAAAGCTCAGCTGATTCAGTTATTACAATATTGAATTACTTGTGGCAGCTGGACGTATTTTGTATCAGTGTTATTATAATTATAATTACTGTTGTTGGTAACTCGAATATCTTCCGTAAATTTTGGAAACTCGTGTCAAATTTCGAGGTGGCGTTTATAAAATGCTTTTAAACAAAGGCGTGTCTCGGGGGAAACTGATTATAACACTTGAACACTCTGGATTTCCCTTTTAAATGAAAGTCAGCCAGATTAATACCGACGTAACTGATATTACTGCAGATCAGATACGCATCAGCCATTTGGAAAGTTCCACGGAGTCACTCCGACCGAGGGTCTGTCTCGTTAACATTCGGTCTGTCGTTTGGGAGGTGCCATGTGTCCTTTATGGAAAACGCATAAGATGAAAGCATGAATGAATGTTTAATATCCGACACCTCTCAATGATGGATGATTCCGTAATAAAGTATATCTTACGCGAAGGTCAAATGTATCATTATATTTCTTAAAAACTTCGTATCGTACAGAAAAATAGATACTGGGGGTCCCCATATATCATTAAGAATTAAATACTATGACTTGTCTGTAAAAAATGAAATTTAGTTAAAAAAGGATACAACATAGAAAATTACGCATTTGCAAAACACGTGTGCTCTGACGTCCACGTCTCCGTTATCCTTACATTTAATAGCGGCTAAACCATGACGATATGTCCTCATTAAAGGCATATTTTCCCATATAATTCAGCAGCGTTACTGCAACTTCAATCTTAATGACTTTATCTTCTTGAAAATCTGTAGGATGTCTTCCTGTTTTCTACTCAACGCCGTGGTGTGGTATTCCTGCTTGCTACTTTAACAAGACTTCCCCGTTTAATCCCGGACCGGTATCTGTTATTCTTACGTCTTAATGACTTTCCTTAAGTTCTTACAACTGATGCCTTCGAAACAGCATTTTTTAATTCCACAGACCACAGTTCTCTCTGATATTCTGGTCAATAAATTCCCTTCCCCTTATGAATATTCATTACCATGTTGGAAACTGCCCACCACTGGAATATAATCTGAGCCTCCAGATATATTTTCTCTTGCGTTCCGCGTGTCCTTCCCATCTCGCTGCCATTATCTTCATCAAACATTTTTTGTTTCATATATTTCATCCGAATAGTTTTCGTGATGTCACGGATCTGAAATATTTATGTGTTCGCCGGGATATTTTTTTTCGCCGAACACTTTGGGTTGGTAGTCAGTGTTCCTTCTTCATGTGTCGGACGTGAGAGGTTAGACTCTCGAAAAAGGGGATTAAGAGGAAAGCGTATTAAGAAAGGAAGGGAAAGGCAAAGGGAATGGGACAGAGAACAGAAAGATGGAAAGAAACAAAAGGAACTGTGAAAAGAAATTGATCAACTGTAATGAAGTCTTGTAACTATTTATATAAAAATTTGCGAGCGCAGTATTACGAGTCACGAAGTGTGATTTCATTCCGTGACACCAAAACAAACTTGATAGTAATGTCTCACACACGAGTGCATATTTTTACTGATCGGCTCAGTTAAATGAAATACATTAAACAAAATAGATAGACAGGGGTTATCATTCGGTTATTAAAACACAGCATTCTTGTTCCTGTAGATACTGCTCTCGTCTCACTTACGATGTCAGTCCACTGGAAGACTTCAATATCGAATAATAATAAGAAAACGACTACATTTATCTTTTGTTGCCAATTTCTTCATTATGAAAGAAGAATTTGAAGGTAAAACGACCCAATCGCTGCCACACCCACAGTTTTACAAACCACCAACAAATATGGCTAAGTTGCGTTTGCCAAGATGGTCAAACGCCATTTTGTTGTTAGAACAACAAAAGAAGCAGCTTCCAGGACAGAAGTAATATGTCGTTACTCTTTATAAATTACAGAAATTCGTGATCTGTCGTCGTCGTCGTCAACCTATTTGTAGCCAACCAATTTGTCTTCAAGAAATGTCGTCATCAAACAATGTTACGTTACATTTGTTTACTCGGCATTGTTGTACCAACAACATTATAATAGAACACAACAATCAAATTGGTTGGTTATAATAGAACACACGTCATCAAACAAACATTTGTTTACTCGGCATTGTTGCGTATACCAACACAACAACATCGTTGTACCAACACAACAATGCCGAAGTGGGGGTTAGTTTAGTGTCTTACTCAAGATTTTAAGGTTGGTTGCGTTTTAAAAACTTGCTCTAGTAAACAATAAAAGACAAACTCTGATTAGCAGGTAACACGGCCAAATAACTGTGCAGAGACTATAGTTTCTGGCGCTAGTCGTAGAGGTTCAAGTCATTTCTTGTTCTTTTTATATCATAACCTCTACCGACATGACGACTTTGTCCTGGGGAGAGGGGTGTGACCTTGTATAAATGACCACTCATTAATTTCCCTACTACTCCTGATTATTTTTTCACTTGGTCTGTCTTCTTAGACTGTTACACAACGCTTTTCCAACTGTGTACGTTACGTAGAACGGGTTATTGTGAATGACGAATTTAACCTCAAATCTTACACGAATTTAACGTGGTTTCAGAACGCATGTAGTTGTGGCATTTGACCTGTGACCTGTTTCTTTTTGCATAATTACGTATTCATAAGACTTTCAGAAACTGTTATGAATCCTTTATGAAGGACAGACAGTTGTTTCACTTCAGGGATGCACAAAGTCCTGAAGTATTCAGATACAAGAAATGTATCAGTTGCTAAAAACGACTTCTAATTGAATGTCCCTTCGGATAATTAACAACGCTTTATCAGATGTACCAATCAAGAGCGTTAGATGAAAAGATCATTTAAATGATTTGGGAATGACAGTGAATTTGAAAGGTTGTTTAATGAAGCAATCGTGTTTCTTTTCTATATAAACAAGCTCACTCTGAAACGTCATTACAATTTATTAAAGACTATATTAAATTTGGCGCACTATTGCAAACAGCTTGACTCAGTCGTTCGCTTTAACAAAATCAGTCATTCGTGTACAAAATGGGTATCAGGTAACTATTTTTCACAGCAAAAACCCTACGTGAGACGCAGTAGCAACCAAAGAACTGCAAAATACGCAAATTGACTTCGCAATGTCCATCCGCATGCAACAACCTGAAAACTTCTAAATAGATTCTCACGAAATTTAATGCGAATTTTTGCTAAAATCTGTTAATATAT